GGGGGCAACACCTTGCACCTCTCCCTTAGCAGGCTTTGCCAGAGACAGGGCCCCACAGGTTTAAGGACCTGGATGCAGCGGGTAGGGTGCTAACGGGCATTCTTGCCGTTGTGGTTTTTAGGAAAGGAAGCAACTCAGGCTTTGTACAGCAGTGGAGCATGGCATGTGGTTGCCCAGACTGGTCACCACTGCAAGCAGCCTGGGTAGACAGCAGCTTCTGTGCTCCCGGCTGCTGCCAGGCAGCATCCGACCCTTCCCAGGGCATTGGCAACTCCAGGAACACATAATAGAATCATAGAATGTTTTAGGTTGGAAGGGACCTTGAAGATCACCGAGTTCCAACCCCTGTGCCGTGGGCAGGGACACCTCCCACTAGACCAGGTTGCTCAAAGCCCATCCAGCCTGGCCTTGAACACTTCCAGGGATGGGCCTCCACAACTTCTCTGGACAACCTGTTCCAGTGCCTCACCACCCTCAGAGTGAAAAATTTCTTCCTGATATCTATTCTAAATCTCCCCTCTTCCAGTTTGAAGCCATTAGCCCTCATCCTATCACTACATGCCCTAGTAAAAAGTCCCTCCCTAGCTTTCTTGTAGGTGCCCTGCAGATACTGGAAGGCCACTCTATGGTCTTCCCACAGTCTTCTCCAGGCTGAACAACCCCGACTCTCTCAGCCTGTCCTCATAGGAGAGGTGCTCCAGCCCTCGGATCATCCTCATGGCTCTCCTCTGGACCTGCTCCAGCATTTGCAACTCCAGGGAGACATCCTACCCTTCCTGGGATATCGGCAACAAGACATTTGTTTGTGGTCCACAGCTGTGCTGCGGCAGTGCACGTGGAAAGTGTCATGGAATGGCATAAATCTGAATTGCATGTTATAAATCTTTGCCCTTCAGAAACACAGGGCAGACTTCCAAAGGGGCAGAATTCCCATCTGGGGCTGGCAATTCTGAATAGACAGGATAGTGCCATTGGCTGCAATTTAAACACCTGAAAATTAGACACATAAGTCATAGGTAATCACCTGGGGCAGTCTGAGCATCCAACTTTTACTCATGTGATCTCGTGAGATGCACCTCCCTGCAGTCACTAATAACTGAGTAACTAAGGATAATAAGGATAGCTTTTCTCCTTACATAGAAAACAAAAGCCAGTTTATATCAACAAAGATTTTCACACATAGTTTGTTGGGTTTTTTTAATTTGTCTGTTACTTCTGTAGGATTATCATATCAGAATGCTTTTGTGGTGATTGACTCATACCTGATCTTTACAGTCACTAAATTGTGGCAAACAACTTTACAAAGGGAGAGCTGGGCTATGGGCCTCCCTGTCCTTGTTATGAAGTTTCAGGGTACACCACTTTGCCACCAGGGACAATTTGCTCATATCTGTGTGGCTGGAGAAAAAAACATTAGTGTCAAGAAAGTGTTGGTCAAATGTTGCACCCCTTGGGAGCAGGTGGCAGGGGCCGGGGCACCTCTGGTGCCTGGAGCTGCTTTGCTTTGGGGTGCAAAAGCAACAGCTTTTGTGCTTGTACCCCCCGCCAAGAGTGGGGCTACCCACACCGAGCCCTGCTATGATGGCTGCACCCAGATGCTGTGTCATCACCAAAGGGTCGAGCTGTGCGAGTGGCACCAATGTTATCCTCATTCAGGCATAAGAGGGTATGAAGGACTTAAGTGTGCCCTGAGCAGCTGGGTTTTCAGTGGAGCTGCACTCCTCTGGGCACACGCCTGCCTTTTGCGGGGATATTTCCATAGTTTCTGTGTGCTATCAGAACCATGCTATGGTTCAGAGAATCAGAGAATCATAGAATAGCTTGAGTTGGCAGGGACCTTTAAAGGTCATCTAGTCCAACCCCCTTGCAATAAGCAGGGAGATCTTCAACTAGATCAGGTTGCTCAGAGCCCCATCCAACCTGACCTAGAATGTTTCCAGGGATGGGTCATCTACCACCTCTGTGGGCAACCTGTTCCAGTGTTTCACCACCCTCATCGTAAAAAATTTCTTCCTTGTATCTAGTCTGAATCTACCCTCTTTTAGTTTAAAACCATTGGGTCTTAATAACCTTGGGTTATTGCCCAAGGGACCATGGAATACATGGTCCAACTTCCCAAACTCATTGCAGGGCACTGTATGCTCATTTTTGAGTGTTATGAGCATGGAGTGATTTCATCTTTGTGCTCAAGACAAAGTGGAATCCCCAGTCATGCGGAAAGTATTTGCTACATTTTAGCCTAACTGCCCTGGACAAGCCCAGGAGACGTGGGTGAGCAGTTCTCACTGTGACAAGGGAAGGGTTAAGAGCAACGCTGGGGTTGGAGTTTGGGCTAGCTCTTCAGTGAAAACCTGCTTAGAAAAGCACAGAACACAAATATTGTCTTGCCAACGTGGTTCTACCACTGGTTTTCCCCTTAATTTTTCATCCATTTTTTTCCTAGGCATGTAGGTCTGAGCTCCAGAAACCCCTTAACACGTACTTGTGCCTGTTCACAGTGAGGATCCCAGATGGGATGCTTGCCTGAATCAGGACTGAAACCTGTGGCATACTTTGAGATCCCTTAGAGTGAAATTCTTCTGGATATGTAGAATGGCCATATTTTATGAGAAAGAACTTTTTTTCCCCCACAGATGTACAAGTAGAGCTGGTTCACATAACAGCTTACCTAAGAATTAATGTCCTCAAAAACTGAGAGACAGTAATACAAGTATAAGCATGGTTAATTACCAGGGAGCCCTTCCCTGTTCAAGCAGCTCATACCCAGCTGTGTAAGAGTGTAGTTAATGTCGTTACGTATGTAAATGCTTCATGGAAGGCTGGGTTTATAGAGAAAGCTGATTTTTTTCTGACAATGAATCTTAGCAATAAGCCAATAGATGTGATGAATTCAGTAATAAGATTAAGGTTTCATTCCCATCCCCGTATTGGCAAATTTGTCTTCATTTTGTCCTTCCATTTTTCCCTTGGAGTTCTGTGACACTGTATAATGTAACAACACATATTCATATTCCTCCATGCATTTTAAGTTGTGTTTGTTCCAATTTCTTGTACCTTGTATCTCGGAGCTTTAAGAACTTACAAAAAAAAAAAAATCTCAGATGTGATTTGTTTGCATTCATTTGAAATAATGAGAAGAATGAATATACATGAGTATCAGTAAGAGTGGTCTCATTAAACAACTCCATTTCATTTCTTTGCAAAGCTGTTTATTCACTCTTTGACACATGCAAAAGCCACCAGCAAGAGCAGATATTATATAGCTTTGCCACTGGACAATAGCTCTGTGTTTAGAGTTGATATACAAAAACAATTGAAAAGTATTGTTTTGGATGAAAAAAGTTTTCAAACGTAAAAAAAAGGGAGTCATTGTCCTTTCACTGAAAATTTCCTAGGTTTTGAAGGCATGCCTGAAGGGCAAACCTGGATGCTTTTGGTGGAACATTTTCCGTTTTCAAACAATTTTCTCCCCCTCTCACTGACGAAGGAAAAATGTGAGGTTTGATTTTCCACAAACTGCTTGTCACAAGAAATTTCTCATTGAAAATCACAACAGCTCTTTCTTTTCAGCTGACTTTCCTGGTATGTGAGATACTTCCTCTTGTGAATCCTGGGTGATGACAACCATGTTTAAAGTGGCAGAAGTCTTCCCAGGGTCAGGAAACATTGTAAGCAACAAATTTTTTCAACTTTGTTTCCCTTTTGATAAGGTGCATTAATATAGCAACTGTACAGTTAGGTGATATTTTAAAGATATTTAGATCATACATTTAAGAACTTAAATACATTTAAGTTTAAAATATATTTATGTTATTTGAAATATTGATAGTTATGTATCTTGGAATTAGCTCTTGTATTTATGGATACACTCTTACAATGTTCAAAGAAGAGAGACCCATTGCGTTTCTTCTTTCTGGAAAGCACGGTGAACTATTGTGTGTTATGAGAGTCCCAAGCAAACCAGCTTTGCCCCTGACCCAACACAGGCTTGCAGACAATAAAATGGAAATAAAACTGGGCACAGCAGCACCCATCCCTCAGCCTGTCAGCTGGCATCGGTCTCTCTCTGGCTTTGATTAGGCAAAGGTGAGAGAAGCAAATCCTGCCCACGCTAAGCCGTAGCTGACACCATGAATTTTCCCATGGAAGGGGATCACCTCTGAGTCAGCTGGCATTTAAAGTTATCACTAAATACAAAGCAGTTGGATTTTATGTGGGGTAAGACAAACCACTTCTCACTCTGTTTGTATTAATAAGAGATGTGTCTGGGGCACATTATCCTGCTGCTGGAGACTGCTGTGAGAACTGCTGCAATGTGACTGCAAGTAAAAAGTATAATGTGTGCAAAGCTGTGTCATTGTTGTCTACCGCTCCCACCCCATTCCCAGTGTCAGTGACACTCCTTTGATTTATAGTGGCCAAAGGGCAAAAAA